GATACAAATTCTAAAATGGGTCTGTCTCTGCACTCTCCTTTTGTTCCAGTGATCTTGTCACCATCCGGGCCCTACCACTCTGTTTCAATTCCTACTGCCTTCTGATTAGTTCTGATGGTTAGTAGAATCAGTGTTCTCTCCTTGTTCTTCTTTTACACATGTTCCTTGGCTTTTCTTGCATATTTTCACTTACAAATGAAGTTTCGAATGATCAACTTAGGTTAAAAATTACATTGGGATGGGGTGCCTCGGCTGGCTCAGTTGGTAGAGCATGTGACTCCTGATCTTGGGGTCGTTGAGTTTAAACCCCACGTGGGACATAGAGCTTACTTAAAAAAAGAATTCTATTGAGATGACATTGAATTTATAGAATACTTTGGGAATTTAGTGACTGTTAACATTATGAATGGGTACCACCTGATTTACAATAGAGGTGTGCCAGGCAATGGGTTATCCATATGGAAAAGTATGATCCTAGACCCTTGCCTCACACGATACACAAAAATTAATTCAAGATGGGTCATAGATCAAAATATGAAAGGTAAAACAGGAAAGGTTCTAAATAGCTTTATGACGTTGAAGTAGACAATATATTTTAAATAGAACACACATGTGAATCAATGAAAATATTGATAAATAGGGCTTTATTAAAATTTAGAATTTCTGTTCATCAAAAGACAAATTAAGAGAGTGAAGAGTCAAGCCACAGACTAAAAGAACATATTTAAATGCATAGGCCTGCTAAAGGACTCATATCCAGGATATATAAAGAGCTCCTACAAATCAATAAGAAAAAGTCTAACAACCTCATTTTTAAAAGCAGGCAAAAGATTTTAACAGGCCCTTCATGAAAGAGGCTATCCAAATGGCCAATCAACACATGAAAGGTGCTCATGATCATTAGTAATTAGGGCAATCAATGAAATATACCTCTACACCTCCACCAGAGGTGGAGAAATTGCTGTCAAAATGGAAAAGCCTGACAACACCAAGTCTAAATGGGGACGAAGACCAGAACTCTTCTACACTGTAGGAGGAAGTATAAATTGATACAACCATTTTGGGAAATTGCTTGGCAGGAACTGCTAAAGCAAAACATAGTCAAATCCTGTGAGCCCATAATTCCACTCCTAGGTGTATACCTAGCAAAAATGTGTGCCGTGTGCACAAAAGACGTGTGCAAGGACGTTCCTAGCAGCTTGGTTCATAATAGTCCCAAACTGGAACTCACCCACATGTTTTTCAACAATAGAATGCACACATTGTTCTATATTCATACACTGGAGCACCACACAGGGATGAAAAAACAAACGTAACTTACAGACCAAAAGAAACCAGAAACAGAGAGCACTCTGTATGATTCCGTGTACCTGAAGTTCGAAAAGAGGGAAATTGATCTACGGGGCTAGTGGCCTGAATAGTGGTGTCCTCAGAGAATACCCCAGGAGGGAGCCTGCAGGTGCTGGTGGTGGTCGAGGCTTCGAGCTGGGTCGCACGGAGCATTTATATGTGAAAGGCCATTGTCAGCTGACCCATAGATCTGGGGACTTTGCCATAAGTCACACTGGAAGTATAAAAGAAAAATATAGATCAGGGAATAAAAGTGGACTAGGGAAAGAAGGTTAGAGGAGAGGGGGATAGAAGCAAAGAAAAAAGAGAGAAGAGGGGCGCCTGGGTGGCTCAGTCGTTAAGCGTCTGCCTTCAGCTCAGGTCATGATCCCAGCGTCCTGGGATCGAGTCCTGCATCAGGCTCCTTGCTCAGCAAGGAGTCTGCTTCTCCCTCTGCCTGCCACTCTCTCTCTTTCTCTCTCTGACAAATAAGTAAAGTCTTAAAGAAGAAGAAGGGCGCCTGGGTGGCTCAGTCGTTAAGCGTCTGCCTTCGGCTCAGGTCATGATCCCAGGGTCCTGGGATGGAGCCCTGCATCGGGCTCCCTGCTCCGCGGGAAGCCTGCTTCTCTCTCTCTCCCACTCCCCCTGCTTGTGTTCCCTCTCTCGCTGTGTCTCTCTCTGTCAAATAAATAAATAAAAAATCTTAAAAAAAAAAAAAAAAAAAAAGAAGAAGAAGAAGAAAGAGACAGGGCATACCCAGCAGCCTTTGGTCTTAAAGGCGTTCTTGGAGAAATGTCCTCGGATTGTGTAGCCCTAGAGGAAACCACTGCAAAACCCCAGACTTGTGTTTTCACATCCAGAGACATGAGCAGAGGTAACATCCCTCAGTCTCTGCCTTAGGGATCAACATATAATTGAGGTGAGGGCCTGACCGGGCCCCCAAGCTGGAGAGCCCCAGTCCTGGCCCGAGCAGCTCAGGCTGGGGGTGGGGGCAGACGCCTGAGCCGAGTCCTGGTGCCATCTCCTGTTCCCCGTTGTGTGACTTGAGCCTCTGTGATCCTCAGTAAAGCCCTGTTTCAATGTGCTGCCGATGAGCACTGGTCGGGGAGCCCCTCCGTGGGCACGAACCACCTCCCTGCTTTTCCTGCAGCCCGGCGCTCTGCCAGCAGGAGCTCACGTGCAGCCTGTGTGGGTCCTCGGTAGATCTTCATTCATTGGGCCTTGTGGATGATCTGGAAACGTCTGTTTCTGGAAAAGCACCCAAGGTCGTTTTCGCTCAAGGAGCAGGAAATGGCCTGGAGGAGGTCAGGGTAGATCAAGGGCAATATGCTCTCGTGGCTGTGACCCTGTGACCGAATGTGTATATATGTGTGTGTGTGTGTGTACACGTGTTTTCGTAAGAATTGTATATTTATCGCAGTGGTGGAGGAGTGTTGGGCATGACTTAACAGTCCTCATGGGAGCTTTGTGGAATTGATCCACTCTGCACACATTTCTCAAGCTCCTCGTCTGTCACACCTGGAGTTCTGGGGCTTGAGCAGCACCGTCCGGTAGAAAGCGAGCCTCATGCAATTCCACATCTTGTAGTAGCCATGTTAAGAGAGTAAAAAGAAATGGAGGAAATCACATTTAATATTTTTATCTCAATGTATCCAAGATGTAATCAGTGTAAAAATGTGAGGTGTCTGGCATTATTTATACTAAGTCTTTGAAATCCACTGTGCAGTTTATACCTACAGCACATCTCGGACTGGCCCCGTTTCAAGCACTCGGTAGCCACATGGGCTGATGGCTACCGTGTGGGACGGCGCGGACCTCTTACATGGTCATAAGACAGGGTGGCCCGGGCTCTGATGGAGGCCAGTGGGGCTGTGGGGACATTAAGGCATCCTCATTCTGCACAGTGGCTTAAGCAGGTTACTTTCTCACGGAAATGGTCTGTTTGGCAGAGTCCGGAACCCAGGCTGGCTGGGCAGCGCTGCAGGGCGGCCTGCGGATCGGGGAAGGGAGTTTGGGATGAGGGGCCACGCCTAGTCCTAGAATCTAGGTCCAGAAGCCGCCCAGGTCACTTCCCTGCATTTAGCCGCACAACCACACCAGGGTGTAAAGGGATCTGGGAAATGTCTGGCTGGGCAGCCATGAGCCCAGCAAGAGGGAGAACAGATTTAGGGGGAAAAAGCCTCTGGCCCGCGGGGGTTAGAGGCCTCTGTGGAGGTGATGTGGTTGGGTCCCGGACTTGGTCGCGGGGTAGATGGCCACGGTGGCCCTGAGAGAGAGGCCTGCTGCCCTGTGGACAGAATGCACTGTGGTCTTGTCTCTGCAGCCGGAGTACAGCATGGATTTCATCAGCAGGGAGCTGTTTGTGCACTCCGCCAAAAAGCTGCAGGCCCACGTCCTGCTCCTCAAGTAAGTGTGAGCCTCGCGCCCCAGAAGAGACTCGACTGCCGGGGACCCCCAGGTGTCCCTCGTGTGAGGCCAGGCTGCCCCGGCCCCTGGGGTGTGGAAGGCAGGGCCCAGAGCAGACGGAGCCGCCCCTCTCAACGGGGGTCTGCGGAGGGCACCCCCGGGCGAGGCAGGGACTGGGCGACCTTGCAGTCAGGCGCTTGCCCTGCCAAGTCCTCCAGCCACTCCAGACCCCTGCCCCCCCCAGAGCTTCGCCGCTCCCTCCCCCGCCTGCCAGCGCCCAGCCAGCAGCCGTCCCAGTGCCACCTCCCGTCGTGGGGCTCAAGCTGCCACTCTCCGCGCCGCCGTGGCCTGCCCCAGGCCGGAACCGTGACTTCTGGGGACACGTGTGTCTCTGATGCTGAGCACAGAGGCTTAGGAAGCACGAACTCGAGGTGCAAATCCAAACCACAGAGACGCTGCACACACCCCCCCGCCCCCCGTGCCCCCGGATGGCTAGACCCGAAATGGCAGATAACAGGCGTTGGTGAGCGTGAGGAGAAACCAGAACGCTCCCGCCGTGCGACTGTAAAATGGCGCAGCCACTTGGAACAGCCCAGCAATTTCTGAAGCCCTTAACCTACCCCAGGACCCAGCAGCTGCCCTCCCAGGTCTCTAGAGGCCCGACCTAGGTCCCCACAGCAGCCTGGACGGGACGGTCCAGAGCAGCATCAGTCCCAACAGCCCAGGGGCGGAGACCACCCGGACGTCGGTCAGCAGACACACAGGCGGGCCGTTTCAGCCGGGAGAGGAACGACCTGGCACCTGCTGCGTGGATGAACCTTGAGGACAGGACAGAGTGGAAGAAACCAGTCACGGAAGTCCACGTGTTCTGTGGCTCCACTCACACGCAGGTGCAGAGAGCAGTCTCTGGAGTTAGTGTTTGCGTAAGCCCGAGCGCTGCAGAACTAGTGGTTCGGGTTCGGGGGATTTCGGAGACGATGACGTCCTCAAATTGACTGTAGTCACGTTGCAGAACTCTAAGTATACGTGTGAAATGGGTGCAATCATCTCAGGAAAGATGCGGGGAGAGAAGGCATGGACTCGACCCCGTCCCTTCCCGGCTGTGCCCTCAGAGGCGGTGGCGGCGGGCAGGTCCCCCGACCCCGCCGAGGTGAACCTGCAGCACCTTGGCCACAGTGAGCCCCGAACTGTGGGAAAATCGGAGGCAAGCCCAGGCCTGTCTCCTCTCAGCCTGGAAACCAGGGCAGGGGGGAGGCACCGCAAGGTGAACCCTGATTTTTCTTTTATTTTCCAGGGCAATCCAAGGATATTATAATGTGAGGAGAGAGAACGACAGTGACAGGAACGTCCTGCTTTTTGTGATGGACACACTGAAATCAGTCGTAAAGGAGGTAGGTGCACGAGGCTCAGCCAGGGTGAAGTCCAGGAGGGTCCTCACCTACTCCTTGCACTAGGGCCTCTGGTCCAGCCCCAGGCCTGATGGGTGACTGGCAGGAGCAACCCGGCCTCACTCCCTATGGCAGTCAGCCCCTGGCACTCACATTTAACTCAGCACAGGAAACACGTTTTCTTGGCAGAGTGCCCCAGTGTTATTGTCCACATACATCCCGCAGCCCAGGTCCAGCTTGGCCAAAGGCCATCCCATCATTTCTAGGGTGAGCAGATGACCAGTCTCATCAGTGGGGCCTGGGGCCTGGGCTTTGTCCCTGGGAGCACCTGGCACTTTGACCGTCATCTGCTGTAAACACCTGACCCTGGGCCTCTGCAGACCTCGGCGTCACCACCAAAGGCGAGCCTGTACGTGACCAGTCTGCGGTGCCTTCCTGTCTCCCAGGGAGGATCAGGTTTGAAAGGCTGCTGGTTCTTTCAAGCTGACCTTACACCCTGAACTACCGGCACCTCCCATGCCTAGCTCTACAACCTCACAACTCGGAATGGCCCAGAAGGCCAGGGTTTGCACATTTCTCCCCCTGAATCAGGCCCTTCTCGCGGACTCTGAGCCAGGCTCTGACTTAGCCAGTGTGTGACCGGGGAGCTGGGGGTCAGAGTCTGCCCGGTGGTTCACTGTGAGGCACCCTTTGGAACCACTGGGAGGTAGCAAGCCCTGGGAAGGCCCCAGCACACCAGAAGGGCCATGCCTCACCAAGCATCCCCTCCCCTCTCCAGCGGTTCCAGTACGTAGAAGTCCCGGACAACCATTACGTCCACCTGAACCATCCCCAGAACGTGGCCGGTTTCATCAGCGCCTTTCTGCTGAGCAAGGAGACAGCACCACATGAGCTGTAGCCTGGGCCTTCGGAGACCTGGTACCCACCACTCGGCACCCGGATCCCTAGTGCCGGGCCCCCCAGCCAGGCCGGGTGTGGTGGGGACAGGCCTCATTGGTCTGAAGCCCAGCAGGTGCTGAGGCAGAGAATCCTGGGCAGAATTTGGGGGGGGACACGGGGCAAGATTCTTTTTAACATTTGTGACTTCAAGGGGGAGACCGTGTTTGGATTTGGGGGCATTGTCTGTTTCGTGGCTGATAATCTGCAGAGAGCGGGTAGCAGATGGAGGGAGGAGAGGCCAGGTGACTGCCCAGCTGGATGAAAAATAAAACGGTTCTTGTATTCTCACTGCTTCTGAGGGGCTCTTCCACTGACGGGAGGGGAGAGACACTCAGCTGGAAAGGGAAGGCCAGGGGCAGGCTGGGAACAGAGAGACCAGGAGGAGGAAACAAGCGCGGCCTGGGCTGGTGGCTCCTGGCGGCCCACGCCCTCACGCTGGGCAGGTCTTGCCAGCAGGGTGCCCAACGCTGCTGCACCCCGGACCCACGGGAGGGCCCTGTCCTTCCACCTGCACCCGCGCGGCCTCAGATCTGGCAGCCCCCGGGCCTGGGCTGTCCAGGACGAGTGTTCCAGGTCTTCAGGTCCTCCCCGGCCGTGGACCGCCACCGTTCACCGCCCCCTTCCAGGGATCCCCAGGACCAGCTCGGCTCAGTAGGGTCGGAACTTGCGCTGCGCCCGCATCAGTTCAATCCGCTGCTTGTCTTCCTCAAACTTCTTGCGCAGCTGGGCTAGATCTGGGGGGCAACGGGCAAGAGGAAATGGCCACGTTAGTCCGTGTACCCTGTGGGGGCTGTGGCCCCCCCGCCCCGCTGGCCTCCGCTGATACGGTCCGGACGCTGCGCGGAGACAGATGCGCCTGCAGGCCCAGAGGGTGGGCGCTCAGGCCAGGGCGGCACGCCTGAGCTCGGAGAGAAAATTCCGCAGAAGACCGAGCACAGAGAAAGCAAGACACCTGTTCCCTTACCACCCCCACCCCACATACCCCAGGTGAAGGCAGGCGGCTCGGGGGGTGTGGGGAGCCCCCCCAGGGGCACCTCTCCCGGCCCCTCCCCACTGCAGCAGCCAGACTGGGGAGAACGTCAGGAAGGAGAGGGACTCCGCCCTCAGTGCCACAGAATTTGGATGGCGGCTCTGGTCACCAGGTGACCAGGTCAGAGGAATACGGAGGGGTGGGAGCCCCGAGGGAGAGCTCATGCAGCCTACTGTCGGCGATTCTAGAGAGAAGAGCAGGAGCGAAGGTGCCCGAGTGGGGAGCAGCAGCGAGACAGGCAGGAGGGTGACGTGCCTGGGTGTTAGGTCACCACCTGCTGCAGAGGCTGTCCCCCTGCCGAGGACAAGGCCAGCACCCTCTACTCCCAGGCCCATGGGGAAGCCACCCAACAAACAGGGAATATGGGCTGTCAGCATCATCATGACCTTGAGTGGGTCACGGGCGATGGGGTGCTCACCTGAACACTGTCCATGTGAGGGCACCGCCCCACTTCCCCCCCCAACTCTCTCTCTCTCTCTCACTCACACACACACACACACACACGCACACACACACACACGGTGCTCGCCCCGACACTGTCCATGCGAGGGGCCTGCCCCACTCCCCCCACACTCACTCCCCCCGACACACACACACACCCAGCAGCGGCCCTCTCGCTGTCCCCACAGTGAGCACCTGAGATCCACCCTCTGCAATCTGGCCCCCGTGGGAGGATGACAGGTTCCAGCACTAACTGCTCAGGGGTCTGGAGATGGTCCTACATCCCAGGTGTGTCTGAAGCCTCTAAACAACCCAGGGGCCCCCACTGCTGCCACTGGGGAGCACCAGGGGGACCACCACAGGGGATGCTGCAGGCTGGGACCTTAAGTCCAGAGCCTGTTGGGAAGTCTGTGCCCAGGGACAGCCCCCTCCACACCCAGGTCCCAGTGCCGCCCGCGGGAGCCCTCCGCTCTGGCCGGGGCTGGCAGCAGTGGCCACGGGCCTCGTCCACAGGGCCTGGGCCCCAAGGGAAGTGGGGCTGAAGCACACGGGTTTGGGGCGCTCCCTTACGCTCCATCTTGGTCTCTCGGTGCTGCCAGGCGTAAAAGTTGAGCAGCTCCTTGCGGGCGCGCTTCCGTCTCTCCCTCTCCAGCACCCGCAGGCTAGCAGCCTCTGTCCGCGGCAGCACGGGCCGCCGGCCCCGACGGGTCACCTTCACCCAGCCCTCCTCGTCCGGGACCCCTTCCTTCTCCTTGGCCTTAGCCTCCTCCTGCAAGGAACAGACGCTGTGATGGGCAGACCCCGGGACTCCCTGCAGCCTCGGGTGCCCCTCCCCCACCCTCCCTTGGAGGCTCTCCCTGCAGCACCCAGAACCTCCCCGGGCACCCACCGCCACCTGCTGCGCCCTCTCCCTCCCAGTAGCTCAGTATGGGGGGCGGGGGGCACAGAGGTGCCAACACTGCCTCCTTGTCCCTCAGCCTGTTTCCTACAGACCAGAGATTAGACGTCACCCAGCTAGGTGACACAGGACTCAGTGGGGAAAGAGGGAGCCTGAACTCTACACAGTGACCAGCACAGGGTGCCACCGCCCATCCCCCTCCGCAGCGACACCTCAACACCCGTGGCCCCACGTTCCCTGTGGAAGCCCCACCTCAGCTATCCTCTTGTCATATGCCTCCATGAACGTGTCCACTTCGACCCTCAAGGCCTCAGGATCTGGCACTGAGTCTGTGTAGTCGCTGATCCACTCTGAGGGAGAAAGGAGGGAGGAAAACAGGGCTTCCTCAGGCCCGATACTCGAGGCCCCACCTGCCCAGCCAGTCAGGATCTTCTTCTTTTTTATTTTTAAGATTATTTGAGAGAGGGAACACAAGCAGGGGGAGTGGGAGAGGGAGAAGCAGGCTCCCCGCTGAGCAGGGAGCCCGATGAGGGGGCTCGATCCCAGGACCCCGGGATCATGACCTGAGCCGAAGGCAGACGCTTAACTGCCTGAGCCACCCAGGCGCCCCCAGTCAGGATCTTCTCATACAGGCCATGAGGACGGAGACCTGTGGCCCAAGGAAGGTTCTAGTGGCAGCAGTCTGGGCCCTCCCCTCCGCCCACCCTGGGCCCAGGAAGGAGGGTGTGACGATGCCGCAGTACTGACTGTGAATGCCGCTCTTCACAGGGTGACTCTCTGTTGAGACCAGCAAAGGGCCCTTCAGGACTAAGGCGGCAGACACCCCACCTGGCTTCTGGAACACCACATAGGCTACCTGGAAGCCCTGGAGGGGGGGAGGAGAGATGTCAGAATGCCAGCACCCCTCCCATCCTCCCGGCCACCCGGCTCCTGGCACCAGGGCTCCCAGCTGCCCTCAGCCCGACTCGTCGCTGGGCCAGGGGACATGTGCCGGGCTGTTCTGAACCCCCTTGGTGAAGATAACCAAGAAGTTCTCTATAATCCTGGGGTCGGGGTAGGGGGGGACACACAGCCATGCTGCTAGCTTTCCAACTTCTGCCAGAGGCGACCCAGGTGAGGTGAGACACTCGGGACCTCCCTTCCAGGTACAGGCGGGACGCAGTGACAAGCGAGCTCCCACATACCAGGAGCGGACAGAGCGCACACTAGCTCAGACTGCGCTACGCCAGGAGGGCGTGTGGGCTCGGGACGGGGAGACGAGACCAGGCCATGGGCTCAGGAAGAAGGGACTTCGGGTGGGGAGCAGGAGGGGAGCTCAGGGAGGCCCTTCAGGACGGCGAGCAAGATGGTCTCTGGGCTCTCAGCAGGACGATGGAAGAGCTGGACAAGAAGCTAAAGGATGTGGCAAATCCAGGGAAAGGCGCAGAGGTGCTGGGGATGCTGCCCTGGCCACACCCCGCGGCGCCCCCAGGTGAGCAGACCACAGCACTTGGACACTTACCGGAATGGGCGTGGGGTGAAAAAACTTCGACTTTGGCTCCTTTGGGCTGTCAGCGAGTTCTGGCTTCTCCTGTAACCCCACAGACTGGACGGGGCCGCAGGGGGAGAAGAGGCGGGACAGGCACTCCTGCCGCGGACCCGGCGGGGGAAGCACAGCATGAGGGGCTGCGGGGGCCTCAGGGAGCCTCCCTCTGCCCAGGGTGGCACAGCCAGGGGACCAGGGCCCCCGAAGGTCTCGGAGCCCATGTCCGCCCAACTGGGGGGCACGTACACAGGCCCTGAGCCAGCCACACCCTCCTCCGCACGGTCATCGTCCTGCCCTCCCACGGCCCGAGCCGACAACCCTGTGCATTTTCACGTTCAAAACTGAGTAAAAAAAACCACACCGCCACTGGCCATGGGACGTGGGAGGGAGCAGACGCAGCGTGAGACAGAATTCAGGTATAAACTTTTTGGCTTTATGACAGGACCTGCAGGGAGCATGTGCCCAGGATGTTTGGTTTGTCCCTGAAAGGGATTTCTCACTTTGAAAGGCCAGCCGTCTTTCCCTGCCCCTTTCTCTGGGTGAACGATCCCCAAAGGAGGATTAGGTTCTATTACGAGAATAGGCGGGAACGTTTCTGGGGTTATTCGGAGTATTCTGATTTTATGAGACAACCAACTAAGTTTTCCTCCCTGAGCAGCCACTGAAAACTGGAGTTAACTCTGTGTTGTTGGGACTCAGGCTGGCGGTGAGCCCCTTGAGGGGATTTCTTGGGCGCAAGTCATGTTCTGTTTCTGGGCGCTGAGTACGTGGGTGTGTTCAGTTTGTGAAAGGCGGCAAGTTGTAGCCTAGGGCCCAGGCCCTTCTCTGTACACACGCTACGCTTCAGGAAACGTTAAGACATGACACAGCCTCTCCTCTGCTTCGTTCTCTGACTGTACAAGAATCTTTATTTTTCTTTCTTTCTTTTTTTTTTAAGATTATTTATTTGACAGAGAAAGACATAGCGAGAGAAGAAACGCAAGCAGGGGGAGTGGGAGAGGGAGAAGCACGCTTCCCGAGCAGGGAGCCCGATGCGGGGCTTGATCCCAGGACCCTGGGATCATGACCTGAGCCGAAGGCAGACGCCTAACTACTGAGCCACCCAGGCGCCCCTGTACAAGAATCTTTTAGAAATTAGTATTTCTCTCGAGGATTCTGTCTCTCCCTCTGCCTCGCCCCCCACCACTTGCTCTCCCTACAATAAATAAATCTTTAGAAGTTAATATTTCTTTCTTGAAAAACAATTTAAAATCCAGCAACACCCTTAGTTTCTCTTCTGTGAACTTACGTAATGCAAAACTTAATCGTTTTCGTGAAAATAAGTTAATGTCTGGATAGATTTAGAGGATAATCTTATCTTCTATTTTTTCCTATGGAGATGTATCACTGTTACAATCAGCGAAAAACAACATGTAATTCAAAGAATCCTGGGAAATAATAAAAAGCTTTGAGCTTCTTAGAACTATACTTTTTATTTTTTTATTTTTTAAAGATTTTATTTATTTATTTGACAGAGAGAGAGCGTGTGAGCACAAGCAGGGGGAACGGCAGGCAGAGGGAGAAGCAGGCTCCCCACTGAGCAGGGAACTCGACGCGGGGCCAGATCCCAGGATCCTGAGATCATGACCTGAAGCCAAAGGCAGATGCTTTTGGGGCACCCAGGGGCCCCAGACTTTACTTTTTAAACCACAGCTTTAAAAAGACATTTCCAGGTGCCTGGGTGGCTTAATCGGTTAAGTGTCTGATGCTTGGTTTCAGCTCAGGTCGTGATCTCAGAGTCTGGGATCAAACCCTGCACCAGGCTCTACACTGGGCATGGAGGCTGCTTGAGATTCTCCCTCTCCCTCTGCCCCCCACCTTGCACGTGCTCATGCTCTTTCTCTCTAAAATAAATCTTTTTTTTTTTTTTAAAGATTTTATTTATTT